CTGATGAATTGGGATCTCGCCTGGAATAACCCCCGCCTAACCTGTCGCCTAACCTTATGCCCATGGTCGGACCTTGCGTTTCGATGGGCAGGAGTTTCTTTAGAACAAGTGTCCAGGCATTCTGTCTCCACGAATGCCTCCACCACCGGCTGGGGTGCCACGTACAACGGGCATGTGGTCTCGGGTGTTTGGACGGGACCTCAAACATGGCATCTACGCTAATATTAGTGTCTTTGTTTATCCCGAGGTTTTCCCGCAGCCTGCCGGATCCAGGCCGTATCCAGATCTGACGAAGGAGATTCGCCTGGACCCGATGACAATGCAGTGCTGAAGTGTCAACTATCCTCTCCCTATGGAGTATCCCTTTCCCACTCTACAGATAAAGCGTTGTGAATTTCGGTTCGCGTACCCCGAAGTGATAAAATAAAACAAAATTCTGTATCAAAATTTATAGGCAAGACAAGTAGTTTGTTTAGGCATGGGTTGTATGGAATTACAAACCCGCGCACATATTTTCAAAAGTACATAACTATAGAATCAATTCTGAATGTGCAGGTGAATCAATCAAAATTAACTTTAGCTGGAAATAACATTATTCAAGAACCGCTATAAAGCCAAAACAATCTCTGTTACCTTAAATGATATGTTTATCTCTGTAAAGCTGCTTTGAAACAATCCATTGTTAAAAGCGCTATATAAATGAAGATGACTTGACTTGACCCCGACTGCATTGGCACATCAAGTTGCTAACAGTATGGCTTGTGCTGAGCCGCTTCAAATCGTCACTACGAGGTAAGCACGTACTGGACCGGATGTACAGCATTGCGGCCTACGCTATGCTGGTCTACGTTTCTGTCGCATGTCGCACATTTCTTAGAGATGGGGCACTATATTGCAGCCGGACTTGGGTGACCTACCCCCAGCGGTAGTTGACACCATCACTTCGGCGAGGGCGCCCTCTATGAGGCACGTCTACGCTTTGAAGTGGAACCAGTAGACCCCAGGAAATGCCCCATCAGGGCCGTGCTTTCCTTCATGCAAGAAGAGCTGGAGCGAAGGCTCTCTCCCTCCACCCTGCAAGTGTATGTTAAAGGCTACCGCCGCACATCAAGATGCAGTAGATGGTAAGTCTGTGGGAAGGCACAACCTGATCATCAGGTTCCTCGGGGGTGTGAGAAGGTTCAAACCTCCTCGCCCTCATATACTTTAAAATCTTACTGACCTGAAACTTTTGAACAGTAAGTCTAGTTTGTGTGGTGGTGTTTTCCTCATTCTCTTTCCTCAGAGGTAATGTTTGCCTTGTTTTAAATGTAATTAGTCTAAACTCCAAAGCAAGAGATTGTTCCACCAACAAACCTCTGTGGTTTCTCAGTCACACCAATACTGTTGGAGTAACAATCACCCTGTAATTAGGCTCAACACACAACACTGGCAACGTCTAGGATAGTTTTTTGTGCTCTGTCAGAGCTGTGCCCTATAACAAATGGGCCCTGGCAAGCTCTGCTTTTCATGTATAACTTCAGTTTATTAACTTACACAATACTCATGCTTCTTTTAATTACGTTACACGAGCAGCAAAGCAAAGCACTGCGGCCAACTGGAATCTCATCACAGAAATCAACAAGCTGCTGTTTCAGCAAGACTTCAGATCGGACCAGGACTTGACTGTTGGTTTTCATTTCTGTGCCGCAGGTGAAAAGGTGTTCTTCCTCTTCCAGGGTTTTAAAACGAGGAGGAGGAGGAGGATCAGAGATGAAGAACATCCCAAGCAGGTGTGAATAGTTTCTGTGGGTGTTCTGTTCAGCTCAAAGGTCTTAAAGATGAGAGGTAGTAAAAAAACAAACCATTCCTCTGGGTGACATTGTGCTTTAATTAAAGAGCTCAAAGCAACACATGGAGATGGATGAGTGTGTATGTGTGTGTGAGGTGTTCTTTCCAGGTTGAATGGTTAAGAACACCACTTTCATCTTTCCTTTGAGAATGCAAAGACTTTAAAACCCCAAGGGTAAAGAATACATACCTATGTATATATTTGTTGCTGGAGGGAGAAGACGCAACTTCAAATAAACTGAGAAGAGAGAGATAGAATGTCTATATGAGTAAGTGATCATATGTCAAGTTATTAAGCACGTTTCCCCCAATTCTCGTTCTATTTAAAAGTCATTCTTATAACGTTAATGCACAAAACATTATATTATTTAAATTATATATAACATCATGGTGGTATTTGCTGTCCTGCTAATTTGAATGTAAATAATGTAAATTAATTTAATTACAATCATTTTATCCTATCTATCTATCCATCCATCCATCCATCCATCCATCCATCCATCCATCCATCCGTCCATCCATTCATCCGTCCATCCATTCATCCGTCCATCCATTCATCCGTCCATCCATCCATCCATCCACGTTCGTCCGTCTGTCTGTCTTTCTATGCATCTATATGTCTATCTATCTATCTATCTATCTATCTATCTATCTATCTATCTATCTATCTATCTATCTATCTATCTATCTATCTATCTATCTATCTATCTATCTATCTATCTATCTATCTATCTATCTAATCAGCAGTGGCTCACAGAAACATGAGCAAACAAGATAGTTGCTGTAGGTAGGCGCATGCATGTATTTTGCTTAATAAATCAAATTAAAACAGGCACAGTGAAGTGGGAATAATTGCACTGACAGTGATAAACAGATTTGATGTGAAATCAAGGAGAGACAGCCTTGCGGAAGATACCTTGGCTGTTGGCCCTGTTTCCTCGGTTTCAATATCCACCCTAACACGAAAATCTGTATAGATCTTGGGGAATGTGTAAACCATACAAGCTCTAAAGAAGCAAGTATAATGATATAATTCTGGACTTTCCAGTGAACCCTGAAACTGCCTTTAACATGCTCTAACAAGTTCGAAAGACTGCATTAGCTACTTAAATCTCAGGTCTTTTGTTGTTGAAAATTAAGACAAAACTATGTCAAATTTTAAGATTATTTCACCCCTCTAAATGTTCAATATTCATAAAAAGTCAAAATATGTATTACGGATTACTTTAAGGTTACAGTTAATTTACTTATAAAGTAACACATAAATACTATTTATAAAATGTTATATGATAAGTAAAATTAACTCTAAACACTTGAAGTTACATGAAAATAAAGGAAATAATCCATAATATATACATGTTGCATTGTTTCCAAGATTTTGTGAATGACTGCAATGTATATTCTCAGCTTTTTTGACATTAGAAAAGATGAGATCATGTAGGTCTACTTTTAGAGGGACAGGGAGTGTGTCCGTTCTCTCTTAAATGCATATAATTATTATACACTTACAAACATCAGACAAAGGCTGAAGACACTGACACATCTAACAACCCGGAATACACCTGAGGAACTTGTTAGGACTCGACCATCTAATTGTGATGTAGTCACATGCTCTTTTATGTGCAGTGTATTGACTAGGTTGATGTAATGGTCCTAATAGTATAAGTAATTGCTGGTGCAGAAGACAAATCTAATTATGTTGGTTTGGTGTTTTTTGGGTTTTGGGTTTTCGTAAGTTTACTGAAACAAGCCTTACATTTCATGTGTAGACAAATTAAGACATTTCCAAGCCAGCTCTGTATTACAGTGTGCCTAACATCCTGTGGATGATTCACTCCGTTATGGTCACTTTCATACCCAACCGAATCATTTCAAACTTTAAAAAAAGGCAGCAGGGAGCGGGTGTTATTTTTACCGAGCCGTTTGGGGTTTTGGGTGAGTTCGTTTTAATTTCAGCGGTGGATGAAGTCACTGAAGAAGCCTTTTATGGCTGCTGTCCCCTTCATGCCCTGCACTGGTAATGGATCCTCCATTCATGTGTTCTCCCACTAGAGAGAGACATTCTGCACAAATGATGCTGCTTGTTTTATTGGCTGGAATGTATGACATTGAAATGAGGTTTATGTTCCAGTGAGCAGTGTAATTTTTTTTTACCACAGAAGGCTGACAGGCTTTAAATTTACATTTAAGTTATATTCCTCATGTTTATGTAAACACTGTAAAAAAAAAAAAAAAAAAAGTTGCTGCCTTAAAATTTTAAGTACACTCAACTTGGATTTTTAAACCAATTCAACTTAAAATCAACAAGTTGAATCTTGTATGACATAAAAAAGTTGAAAATTGCTTAACTTATTTTGATGAGTTAAAGCAACATAAAAACATATTGTCATATTGATCATATAATTGTTTACAGTATACATAGTGCAAATATTAACTCAACATGCATTCACTGTAAAAAAATATATGATCAACATATTATGTCAACATATGTTTTTCCATTACTTTAACTCATCAAAATAAGTTAAGCAATTATACAAGACTCAACTAATTTTTTTAAGTCAGTTTAATTTGATTGTAGCTTAAAAATGTAAGGCAGCAACTTTTTTTATAGAGTTGTAAAAAAACTTGTGAACCAAATGAAAGCTTACAAATCCTAAGCCTATTTAATTTCTTATAGTTGTTTAATTGTTCATTCATTTAATTTTTGTTATGGAAACATCTATCTATATATCTATCTATCTATCTATCTATCTATCTATCTATCTATCTATCTATCTATCTATCTATCTATCTATCTATCTATCTATCTATCTATCTATCTATCTATCTATCTATCTATCTATCTATCTATCTATCTATCTATCTATCTATCTGTCTGTCTGTCTGTCTGTCTGTCTGTCTATCTGTCTGTCTGTCTGTCTGTCTGTCTGTCTATCTGTCTGTCTGTCTGTCTATCTGTCTGTCTGTCTGTCTGAGAATGTCACATACTGTAGCCTATTGGAATCATCACCGATTTAAAAGTCTTCATGGATTCTTTTCTTCTCTCTGTGTTGTCCGTCTCGCTCACAGCTATTGGATTTCTAGCCATCCCACAGCGCGCAACAGGTATATGCCCCCATGCATGGGGCAGGTTGAATCTATTGCCCCGATTTCCTGTCACATGATTTGAAATAGGATCCCTACTTTTTCTGCTATCTGTCTTGTGTGTGTGTGTCTGTGTGTGTCTGGGGGCAGCGCTGATCTGCCTAAAAGTTCATACGCTCTTAACGCGGACGCGCAGCGAGATTCTGTGACATTCAGCTTCTCACTGCTTCAGCTCCACTGACCTGACTGGACTCTTCACACTTCACCTGCGAGAAGAGAGGGAGAGAGAAGGTGTTCAGATCTCTTATAGCCTACTACAGAAGTGCGATGGATTCGTGGAGAATCGCAGCTTTGCTCCTTGCTGCCTGCCTCAGCGCGTCAACTTCAGACCAGTTCGATACGGGTTAGTCCTCAACTCTTATGACTTGTAACTTCGTGCATTGGGGTGGTTGTAGGTCTTTTATGAGATGTTTCGTACAGTCGTGCACTGCGTTGAGCCCGCATTGTCCCGACTCCAGTCTCGAGATGAGCATCGGCGTGCAGCGCGTTCTGTCAATGTTCTTGCCTCGTCTTGCCTCTGGTTCAGCTGCATGAACCACAATCCATTCAGCTAAATCATCGCTAAAACAAGTTCGCTGTTTTGCATTTTGATGATTCTTCAATTAGAGACACTTTTGACACTTTTTAAGTCTTTAAAAATTTAACTATGTTTCATGCTGTGCGATAAAGTTATTGCATATCTTGGTATAAAGAACCATCAAGTGATGGACAGATGGTGAGAGTAGTTAATATTGTGTGCAATGGTAATGACCGTGATGCAATGACTTTTTAAAAAAAAAATGTTGCGAAAAAAATTGACGTGTGTGTGTATTATATGCAATATATTATATGCAATATATTTTAATATATTTCATGTTTTATTTTATTATTATTTTTAATTAAGTTAAATGTTAACACTTTTTTCATAATTCTTTATAAATAGAGAAATCGTGGCAAATTTACCTTTCAACACTAAAAAGGATAATGTATACTGTATGATAAATATTTTTTCTTTGCAATCTTAGTGGATACAAGAGCTCCCCTAATTTATGAATCACAACATGCCTTACATATATTTCCCACTTGGATATGTTTGCATGCTTTAAAGTATTTTTCAGGACAGATATAAAATCATGGTAACTAAAACACGTCCAGTATTGAACATCAATGGCAGATAAGTAAATCTGTCAATAAGAGTAGCATAGAGTTTTTTTTGTAATCCCAAGTGCAGTTTAATTAGACAATGATGACACAAGAGATCCCTTACAGATATTTACAATGCTAATAGCTTCCGCCAAAATGCCATAGTTACTGTGGTTATCGTTAGTAAAATAAAACTGTGGTAACTTGTGGTAATCAGTCACCATTCTGTTGTCACATAATATATTGGAAGCTTCTTACTTTCTTTGAATGAGATCCCATATTAGGACAGTAACAACAGTCACTGTTGAAACTGGTATTGTGGTGGAAACTGTTTTTTCTCTCAAACAACTTAATCTACTTGTTCTTAATGAGCAGATCATGTTCTTTTCATATGACATTTAGTAGTTGAAAGCTCAAAAACATTATTTTCATTTAGAAACCACAAAAATGGTACGTCCCATATTTCAAGTAGGTGACCTTGAGACATTTAATTGTATCATAAATCCATCTTCAGCATCAGACAACCATCAATGAATTGTCTCTATGCAAAACCCAAAAGAAATGGTAATTCATAAATGTTTAGCAATGACTACACAAAGCAAGCATCTCGCACCCCAGATAAACAGCAAAGAAAGTGTGACGTCTTCCAGGGTGGAAGTGACGTCAGCAACCAGTCGACCAATCAAAGTTAATGTGTGCGACAAGACACAAAAATTTTTTTAGGGAAATCTTGTTTCCTAGGTGTCATTATCAAACAGGTTATTATTTGAAAGAATCACTTTCTTTTTTATTGTTATAAATTTGTTAATTGACTGCCAAGTTAATTGACTGTGTTGTGTTAGCAAGCCCAAGGTATATCCAACTTTTTCTCCAAAAAGTGAAAAAAAATTACCAAAATGAACTTTGAATGTAGTAGCATAGATGGAACTTAGTTTAAAGACATTTTGCTTATCTAGATTTCAGGTAGTTAAAACTTCCACTAATTGAAGAATCAATAAATCTGACTACACTAAAATGCAAAAGACGGAGTGTTCTAGGTTGTCGCATTGCTTCGCTAACATCGTAAGCTGTAATTTGTGTTGTGTTTCAAGTCTCAGAACCAAATCCCCTACGCTCTCTTTTAATTTTTTTTTTTTTTTTAATTATAGCCTTTGATTCAAATGACAGGTTAGGCTATCTGAGCAATGGGTAAGCACATGCCCTCTTTACCTAGCAATGTATTTAAAGCTGCCTTCCAGAACCTATTCATGATAATTACCTGATTTATTCCTCTTTAAAAGTTTTTCTACCATTTTGTGACTAATTTTGACAGGTTTATGGCTAATTAGTGCTGTAATAATTAATAAGGCATGCAGTAACATTTCCATCCACCCAGAGGTTTGAATGTGTTGCAGTAAAAATCATTTATTGAAATGACTTGATGGCTCATTGTAATCCTTGTTTCCATATAAAATATAATGAAAATCATTCAACAACAACAGTGAGACAGAGCAACGATTTGTACACTTTGCCCCCAATTTGTGAATATGATTATTTGCAGCTAGCAAGACTTATTGCATGAATTAATTAGTGCATGCATTTGCTTTATTGAAGTGGAGAGACAAGAGTGAAGAGACATTTTGTTGCGCATTTCTATGTGTGATTGGATGTATAGATTTATACTTGTGAATGATGAAAGACTTTGCATTTTAAATTATGTTAGACATTTGAAAGAAAGAGTATGGCATCTGCGTTTTTTCATTAAAGGTGCTGTAAGCAATTTATAAGAAACTGTTGTTGTTTGGAATCAACTCGATTCCAGAACACATGCAATGCAAGACTAAATGTCTCTTTATCATAGCTGAAGTGAAGCAAAATAATGCTTCGCGAAAAATAAAGTGAAGATGATGAACGACAAGAAAGAACAAAAAATGAACATGCTGTATGCAAGAGTATATACAAGCAAGAGTCGGTTGTAAGTCGCCAGCATCACATCAGCTCCAGATAGACAATGACACTCGAAACTGTCCTGTTACTATAGCTAACATTACAACAACAGCATATCTTGGTTCTGGTTTCAACGAGAGATTGCGATTCTAAACAAAATAACACTTACTAGAGGTTATGACAAAATGTTAATTTCTGCGGTTTATTATTATTATTTTTAAATATTCTAAATGAAAAAAAATGAAAACACGGTTTGAATGAATGATTCAATGACTCCCTCATAAATACTTCTTGTTTCATTACTGGATGAATTAGCGTTTTTGAACAAATCTCTTGAATGAATGATTCAATAAGAATTACATTTTTTAACCTGGTGGTGTAACAATGTAATCGACACAATCGTTATTTTACTTTCAAAAGGCGATTTGTTCTAATTTGATCGGTACCGTAGACCAGTGTTTCCCAACCCAGTTCCTGGACCCACACCAACACTACACATTTTCCAACTCTTCCTAATCGATCACACCTGAATCAACTCATCAGCTCGTTAGTAGAGACTCCAAGACCAGAAATATATGGGTCAGAAAAGGGAGACATCCAAAATGTGCACTGTTGGTGTGCCTCAAGGAGCAGGGTTGGGAAACACTGCCGTAGACAGTGTTTATGAACTATAAACTTTTATCCCACTACTTCTGTGATAATATGAATATTTGTTACATTACTGTGAAACATGTTTGGTTGAAAAGACTGTTGGTGAATTTGTTTTATACCTATACATGACAACTGCTTTCTCTGGATCCAGGGCAGCGCAAACGCAGATTTGAAATGAGATCGCGTGGGTGTTTGAAATGAGATTGCAATCTTTTAATGATTAATCGGGCAGCTCTAAATAACTCAATAAATAAATAAACTTAATAAATCCTAAAGCTCTTGCTTGATCATAACCCTTATTTTTCCAGTGATATTCCTCTGAGCTTTTCTCTTTTGTAATGTCTCTCAGCCATCTCTCTTCCTACAGTCTTTCTTGCTCACTCTCTCTCCTCCCCCATCATGAGTGGACACGCCCCCTACTGCTGATTGGCTACTAACACAAGTGTGGTGTGGTGCTGCAAAATTTTGATCCAATTTCAAAAGCGTTTCTCAGAAATCGCTTACTGCACCTTTAACATTGGGAAATGCATTATTGTTGTCCTCAGAAAACAATTTATTTTGCCTTATTGCATGAATTAAAAGCTTCTGCTCCTTTGCTTTTAAACAGATCTAAGAGATATGAGGCCTTGACCAGGCCAGAGACCAAGTCTGTATTTCCTCAGACAAATATGTATTAAAGGTGCAATAGGTGATTCTCCACAGAAACATTTTTTGTTATGCTGGTTTAAAGTCTCCACATATCCTGATAGCAATCACTATGTTAAGCTGTCTAAATGTATTTTTATAAATATATATCATCTGTGAAAGGCGTAGGACCACAAAATTCGGTCTGAATGAAATGATAGCATGTGTTCCCAGTCAGTCAATTGTTCACACATACGTCATATGTCATCAGCGAGTTCACGTATACGCTGTGCAGACAAAGCGAGAATGGCAGGCAAACAGTTGTTTATGTTTGTTATTGTAGTAGCTACTGTTACTCACTGTAATACTATAAAGTTGTGAATGGTGAATGACACATTATGTAATCCAATAACGTTGTCTCTGGACCTCTCGCTTCTGGTCTGTGCACGTTCATGTGTTTTGGAGGAGGCTTGGCTTTGGACGGTGATTTGCAGGGATCTTATGCTTTCAATGCTAGCAGGCTAAAGTTAGCATTTCCCAGATCACCTATTGCACCTTTAAATGAATAGGGACTTTGAGAAGAAGCATCTGCATCTGTGTCCAGACAGGCACTCATGTAAAGTGGATTTGGGTTGAGTTAAAAGATGTTGTTGACTGGAATGTACTAAGTGATTCCCAGACAGCGCTGGGACACATTTATGATGTCATTCACATCTCTGTTGAAGATTTTATTTTAGATAAAAAATGACAGATGCATTTTCCCCACATATTTTTGCTGTTAAATGTGAACTTGGTGATACTTGTTTGCTGTGTTTTTCTATTCAAAGCAAAATGTGCTGATTGTGAAAATAAGTGGAATGGTTATGGCTGAAGGGCAAACCGAAGACTTCAAAGCATCAACAATTTAGCTTGAGTTATTAAATCCATGTCATGCCTTGTCTGTCGTGATTGTTTCGTCTTTCATCTCGTTTCAAAAGTCGACGCATGCACCATGGCTTATTGGTCCTGACCAATCGTGAG